CACTGGCAGGGTCACATTGGCTAGCGCTGCACTCTGGCTGTACCTGATGTGGTAAGATCTGAAACAGAGTTCAGGAAGGTCCCTTTTGGAGACAACTTCTCTAACAAAAGTTGCCTTCGATTGTGTACAATAAGTGTTTTGGTTTTGGTTTTTTTTAAAAAGTCAAATCCCCAGATCTCAGGAACTTTTTCAGATTCTACACTTATGTATGGAACACCTTCAAATGTCTACATATATGCCTATAAAAAGCCAGCTTAAACTGTGCAATTTAAAGTGGATATTTATTGCTAAATTTCTGAAGTGAATTCCCTCACCAACTGGGAGGGAAATATCAGAAGACCTATAATGACCTTTCTAAAAGTGTTTTATGAAGACTTAGCAAAATCTTGCAATGTTTCCCTGCACCTTGGATTCATGCAGCAATGAGAACACAGAACTGAAACACTGACTCAACTTCATTTTCATTCTAGCTTTACATTTCATTAAGCAGTGTATGAAAGGCACAAAGGTAAACCAGTCAGAAAAAAATGAACAAAGTATCTAAGAGTTCAAGACAATATGTCTAATCAAGAGCAAACATTTAGAGAGAAGGTAATAAAATTAAACTAGGGAAAAAACATATATCAAATTAAATGGCTTGCATATCTCTCCGATTTCATTGGGCCTGGCTGCTTGCATATCTCTCCTCTTCACTGGGCCTGGCTGCTATGTGCAGCTTTATTGAAAACATTGAGTCCCTTCTCTTGTCTGATCTGCAATATTAAAATCAGACAAATGTAATCTCAAATTATAGCTGCATGTCTGTACTACAAACCACACTATTTTTATTTCTTACAAAGTCTTCTTAATTATTCTTTGTTTCAATCAAGTTTTTATTCTTATTTTTTCCTATTAAAATACCATTATTAGACTTTTATATAGGTGAGAAGCGAATCAGAGTATCGGCTAAGCACATAAATTGAACACACCCCAGCCTTTGAAAAGGTAGTATTTATTTTATATATGTTCAATATCCACAATGTATTGCTCTTTTGCTAAGCAGTGTCTTGCTAATAGATCCAACAACTTTGACAATATAAAAAGATATTATTCAGCACAGGTAAAGGTGGTCAGATTTTGACTGGGTTATTTCCATCTCCATCACCCCTACCGACACACAACACACATATTGCTAATCTCTACAGTTGTCCTGATGACCTTAATACTCCAACCCCTTGAGCTATAAATAGGAGAAAGGAGACTCACCAGCATCCTGGGAGATCCCCGGCCAGACAGACCCCTTGGGATCACCCTGTCCCTCCTCACTGCAGAGCTCTAACTGGGAGAGGCAGCAAAAGCACTACCAGTGGCTGAGCCATGAAGTTTAACTAAAGAAAGAATTACAGAATTAAAGAGCAATTATTTGTCCCTTAACCCCTGGTGACCTGTCTGGTGGCCTGAGGGAACACTGCATGCCAGTTGTCACCGCAATACACAAAAACCCTCTGCCCAGGGTGGCAGGCATTTGGTCACCTGGAGCTCTGCAGCCATCCCTTTTCCAAACACCATGGTCAGGGCAAAAACTGAACAGCAGAATAACGCACAAGAGGTCATTCTGTGGGTTCTTCCTCTCAGTGAGACATTTCATCTGAATAATTAAATCACAAAAACTTGTCAACCATTTCAAACCCGTGCATGACGGCGGCAGCACAGCGCACCTGACGAGCGCAGGCAGAGGTGATCTGTCTGCTGCCTGCGAAGGTGCGACTTCTCTGGCAATCTATCTGGGAAAATTTTTAATAAAGCATTACACAGCCTCTTCCTCTTAAGCATAACAGCCTGGGGTCTGCCCTAGATAAATTCTGTCTAGCCATGGATCTGGCTAAAATAAGATTCAAAAAAAAAAAAAAAAAAAAGAAAGAAAACAGTACACCAAAGGCCAGGGATGGTTCTGGCGGCAGTTTATTCGCTACCCAGAATCTTCTCATTTCTTTATTTGTACAAGACTAACTTCACAGGCTCTCCCCGTCGTGCCCCATCTCCACCACTCAAGGCTGCAGCCATAGCACCCCAGGTCTGGGGGCAGCTGGGGCACTCTGCCGCGGGAGGCAGCGGGGAC